CTTGTAGGTACTTGATCAAGAGGAGTATCTCAGGGTCGGACCGCTGCTACCCTGCATCTTTCTCGTTTGATGCACATCACTGGGGACCATCACATACTATTGCAAACCTTGACTGGGCATCATCACTCTCTTTTTTCCTTTTTTCATTTGGCACATGCCTCGTGCCCCTTTACTCATGGTAAAACGTGATACTACAAGGTGCCTTGTTAGGGTATCATAAAGTGAGACCACAACAGCAGAACAAAGGTGTGTTGAAATTGCGTGAAAGAGAACGAGATAGACAGGTGGCAAACTTTGACAAAGCAACATGTCATCACATGAGGCATATAGGGTGGTTGCAAGATGAGGTGGTCAATAATACTTCCTAGGTTCCCGTCGCAGAAATTTTCAGCAGCAATGCTCTTCAAGAATCCAGATATGGCAGGACCACATCGACCGGTATTGCTCAGTGCACGCTCTGGTGACTCTATGAGGTACCAAGAAAGGAATACTGTCATGCTCACACAGGAGGCCACATTTGTAGATCAATGTGTATCAACACATTTATTTGTGATGCCCAATGACCAAGAAAACTAAAGAAATTCATTACAGCTCAAACAAAAGGCTGTCACTCTCTGTTATAAAATAACTTCACTCAGCTGAGCTGGCGAGCATACGTAATAACACGATACTGAACAAGTTGCCATTCGAAAGGAACACCTCCGAAGCAGCGGCCATTAGCTTTAGTAAGGACTTCTGCAGGGAAGTCCGAATAAGCTAGTACGGGTGTTAGTAGTGCAACGAGCTGACGATGCTTCGACAGAACCCTAGCATGTTCTTTTAGTTAGTTACGTTGGGTTTTATGGCGCAAAAGCAACAATGACTATGATGCGCCAGGCACTGGGTGATTATGATAATAGGGTTAAAATGGGAGGTGAAAAGCAGATTTCTGTTTACAGTTTGGTTAGAAGACCTGTGGCGTCTAGAAACCTAAGAACATCCTGTATGGGGATGGGTGCATTTTCTGATAGTATTAACATTGGGTGTAGAGGTGTTTGTGTTCTGTAAAACTTTAAAATAAATGTGTCTACTTTTTTCAAAGACTGGGCATGTTATTAAAATATGATTGATAGTCAGAGGTTCCTTGCAATGTTCGCATTCTGGCTGATCTTCTCCGCGCAATAAAAAGTTGTGGGTTAGGTGAGTATGACCTATACACAGGCGGCATAGTGTTACTTCGATGAAGCGCTTTTGGTAGTTGCAAAACTTCCATTCTTGTAGAATAGGCTTGATAAATTGAAGCTTGTTATGCACTTGAGCCTGCCACACTTCTTGCCATTTTGCCCTAAAGGCTGCCTGACAACTGTTGAAACAGTCTCTGAATGATGCCCTTATTTCTGCTATGCTTTGATGACCTGCCCTTGTTGCTACCCTGTCTGCCTTTTCATTTCCTGGGATACCAACATGGCTCGGCACCCATACAAGCCGGATTGTCTTGCCATTTTTCTCAGCTCTTTCTAGCTTCTGTAAAATGTCCCCGAGAAACGGTTCGTTTTCCGACCTTAGATGTAGGGCTTTTAATGCGCTAAGTGAGTCAGTGTATATGACAGCTTTTTGTGATTTCTTGATAAAATTTCTTCGAGAGCAATCAAAAGAGCATATACTTCTGCTGTGAAGATAGATATGAATGGTGGCAGTCTTATACATGTTTCTGAGTGTTTTGATATGACAGCACTTCCTGTATATTCTTGTTTTTTTTGATCCATCAGTGTAGTATTCAGAGTGTGTGTTATATTTTTCTTGTACGGCTAAGAAATCCTGGATAATTTGTTCCCGTGGAGTTTCTTTCTTCCTTATATGAGTTAAGGCAAAGTCAGTGTAGTGCGAAAAGTCCAAGCATGGAGCCAGTCTTTCCGGCATTCGTACAATGCTTAGTGCCTGAATCGGTACTTTGTAGTCTAGACATATTTATTCAAAGCGCAGGAGAAGTGGTCTTATCGTGTGCGGTCTGTTGTATTGTATTATGCTACCGATGTGAGAGACAATAGTGTGACATATGTGGCTTGGTTTCGATCTGGTTCTTAAAACATAGGATACAGTAAGTAGCGCTCTTCTTTGTTCTAGGCACGGCTCGTTGCTCTCAGCATATAAGCTCTGGAGCATGTTCTTTTATTCTCAGACTGCTCCAAACAAGAACCTACCCAAGCCCTGCGGCACTGCACGCAATATACCCCGAACGATTCTCAAGCCCGGATCGCTCCTTGTGTAGCGGTTATGCGTACTTCGAGCAAAATTTGACCAAAATTCCAAATAATGAATGCTTATGCGGGGTCTCATTTACAGGTAGGCGCGAGTCAAGCTTAATTCGCTCCAACTGCGGCGATAAAGCATCCTTCAAGGCGTATATAGCTGTAGCATATCCGACGTACCCCAATTAGCCAGCCTTGGGACGTTTATTCGTCACATGTACACGAGTCCAAACGATATGTCTTGTGCTGACACAGCTAAAGGAAGCGTAGCGTCCCCGTCGTGGCACGCGGTCAACGCGGCACGATCAGCTGTGAAAAAAAAAGGGGGGGGGGGGGGCAGCACACCGCCTGCTGCGACTCCATTCAATTTTTCCCGTCGTCCCTAATACTGAGCTGCGATCTCTTAATTGCACACCTGCGCACACAGCAAGAGAACGGGCCTCGACTTCTGTAACGCGCGGTTCATTGCGTTAATAGAGAGTTTTAGTACTGCGGAATGGTGCTACGTACGCATCACGCAAGCGCATTGCGTTACGTGGCGTCGTTTGCCACTAATCAGCTTTTAGTACGCCGCAGTACCCGCGTACGTAACGAGCGAGAAGCGTGTTGCGCCATCTGGTAGATCAAAATAGAAGCACGTGTTGTTGACAGCTAATGTGAGCCAATCCAAGTGTTCTAGCCAGATTATGGCCATTATTTAAGCCACAGAGTCGGTCGGTGCTTGCCACGGAGGAAGGAAAAGGTAAGGAGAGGCCCTGACGTCACTCGTTTTGAAGCCGCGATGAAGCCGGAAGTCGGTCATATTGAGTAGGCAAATTCTCCTCTCTTGTTTACATATGAATGCGAAGCAGAAGGCGCGACTCCTTCTCCGGCTCGGAAAGCACGTGGGCTGCGCAGCGCGTGTGTCGTGATGATCCGAAACTAATGGAACTGAGCTCATCACTCAGAGCCAGCGGGACAGCTTCAACAAAATCGCTTCGTCCGAGTAATAACAGGGAGTAACAGCTCGCCGACAACGAAGCAACTACGAGAGAACGCGCGCTAGATGCACTGACAACGGCGAGGGCTTTCACGTCATTAATTCAGCAACTGTACAGACAACACGATCGGTCGTGCGCCTTCTACGGTTGCATTCCGCCACGCGGCCGACGCAACGTCCTGCCACTGTGTCCGTGTTCCGCGTGAAAATCACCGGCGTCAGCATTCTGCGACCGTGGTGACTGAGCACGGTGCTAGTGACAGTTGAACGTGGTTGCTGTTACGTTAAGATTACATGCAATGCTGGTGGAGAGTGTACCAAGCGGAACAGAAAAGGTGTTTTAATACGCACATGCAAGTTGTTACTCTACACACACAACACGAAACTACGTATGTGCACATGGTCCTCACGGCGTCTTGCTAGGCTCAACAGCGTCGTCCGTTGTCACAAGCAGGAGCACTGCTCAACCGTCACTGACCTGCAAGGCGTTCGTCGTCATTCAGCTTCGTCATGGTGCCCAACGCAATTTCGCTGAACACTAACTGCTTCATCCGCGTCATCCGCCGCACGACACATGGATATGCACTTGTTCTACGCACTGTTGAAACCCCGTGATGGAAAAAGGGATTTGTAAACGTTGCTAAGAGTAATGTAACAGCCAGGAGAACACTGCGTAACCAATAACGCGGCGCAGAGCACAGATATTGTCCGCCACAGCTCAGCACGAGACCTGGGGAGGCACACATTCCGCCGCCAGCCGCGGCCGCTCACTGCTAGACCAGCTCCACTGCGCAACACGTACCCATAGCAACGCCGCCATTGTGCCGTCTGAATATGGCCGCCATGATGTCATTTCCGCCACACTTTTTACGCCCTGCGCCAGCTGGGCATGCCCTCTCCTTACCTTTTTCCTTCCTCCGTGGTGCTTGCCTTCGATGCCGCCATTTTGCCAAACCAAGTCTCGCGCTGTCGCGAACTTGTTCGAGAGCGCCGCGATCACCTGATACGTACGCACGCACACATCTCATGCGTGCGTACGTAGCGGCTGCGTACGTAATGCGATACGTGCGCGTTGCGGTCTGCGCATGCGCACTACGCAGAACGTGGCGTCCTTACGTACGCAACGCCGCCACGTACGCAGCGTACGCAGTACTAAAACTCTCTAATAACGTCGCGCACACACTCGCCAAAAAGTGCATCGCACTCGCGAAATGCACGGCGGACGATATCTTAACTTTGAGACACGACCTCTTATTTGCACAGCAGCGCACACAGCAAGAGAACGCGCCCCGACTTCTGGAACACTCGTTTTACATTCATTTTGTTAATTAAAACGGCCAACGCAGCTCACGCACTCGCAAAATGCACCGCGGACGACACCAACCCCTCACAGAGAAGCCACAACTACAGGGGCAAATTTATCCACTAAATTTGGTCACAGTCTGGCAACAACCACCCCAAAGTCTGGCAACTGACTTATGCAACGCCAAACAGAACCTCCCACTGTTCCTTTTAGATTTCCGAAAGGCATTAGATACGACAGGTGATTCTTGTACTAACCAAGTGGAAGTTCGACAGACAACCACAACAACACACAGTAGTAGGCGGCTAGCTAGCTAGCTGATGCAGTGCACATCTACCAAATAAGAAATTTCATAGCGCGTTTTCATAGTTATAGCGCGAGAACAAAACGACGACACAGAGACATTTATATTAACAACCACACGGAGTGGAGGTTTTTTTTCATTGATACCCTGAATGAAAAACAGTTGGCATTCGAAGACACCGCTTACCACAACACTGTATTGATGGTCATTCTTGTGCATCAGTGACTCGACGCCTCTGGAGAAGCACCGAATGCAGACGGTCACTTTAGGATCACACTCGACGCACAGTATATGAACATCCAAGAAAACGTTGCTGCAGAAGGCGCATCTTTCCGACATCGCACGCGTCAAAACTCTCGGTCTGCGGTAGTAGCACGACAGAACACCAATACACTGGTAGCACAGAACACTAGAAGGGAAACTGTACCTTTGACCAGCACCTCCTCTATTTTTTCTGTGCCTGTTGCGTCGCGCCAGTTCCCATGGCTCTACGATCGGTGCCCTATTTCTCCGAGTGACCACGTGGTGGCGTAGGTTATTACCCTTTCATGTGGCCACTCTTTACTTGACTGCTATGGGTGGGTGCGGCGCAGCCACTGGCTTTTTCCAATTTTATGCGATTATTTTTTTCGTATTCGGTAATTTTGCATTCGCGCATTTGTTTTGGCAACCAATCACGAAAAAGCGTGTCGTAAGGTGTCTTATTCTTTGTTTGCAAGCGGTCGAAGGAGTGTTCTGTTGAATATCGAAATCGATCGGTTGAGGTAATGAAACATAGCAATTTTATACGCACAAAAGACAAAAATAAAAAGAAACGAGTCAGTGCAAGTTAAGAAACAACCGGTTGAACTGAAACCACTTGTCAGTCCAACGTTGATGGTGCGCGCGTGTCGTGGAAGCTTTTTAGAACTTCCAATACTTCCATGACAACAGCTTCCTTTAATAAAGCCTGGCCACAAGCTTTTTTTATCGGTGAAGTCGACAGCATAGTTTGTGAAAAGTGGCTACATGAACTTTCTGCACACAAGTTCTATTAATTTGCGCTTTTGGATTTGGTCACAACGGTAACACAGCAGTACTGGCAGGCCAACAATTACATCCGCACTCTTCACGACCCACGTCTATAGAGGCTTAAGGAGATCAGCGTAATGCAGAAGAATCACGTCCACAAATATTTTCAAGGCATGCAGCACACGCACAAGCTCCGCAGTGGAGTAGCACAAGCCAACTCTGTCCTGTGGGAAATCTAGCCGTCCGTAACATTGGTGAAGTGATGCTGCACCCTTTTGCCTTCAAAACTACCGCAATGCAGCGCTCGCAGTCGGTGTTTTCATTCACGACGCGAGATATGTATTCTGCGATGAGAGAAACTGCTGCTATACCTGGCGTGGGCCAAGGCTTCGTCGAAGTGCTGTGTTCCTGCAGTAGGTGCTGCACCGAGTTCACTGCTGCGACCACGCTTGTTGTTGATGCACTGCTTGACTCGCCGTTCCTAATAACGCTCCTCGAAAAAGCGAACTAACCTGAGCTTTGCACATTGCTTGAGTGGGAAGCCGCAACGATGCCCGTCTTCAGCATCTTAAGGCCCGAAAGAGCGCTTCTGACATCAAGCATATCATTGCATCCAATGCTGCGTCGAAGCGTACGTCCCAAACAGGGATTCGATGGGGTCGCTTGAAAACTTTCTAGTCAACACAAATTTGAACCCTCTAACAGAAATCTGATACACTGGACGTTGGCGATCGTGGTTAATACCAGTGCATGGCGAGTTTCTTTTGTTAGAAATTTCATTGGTGCACTTGCCATCTTGAGCTAAGCTTCAATGTATTCTAAAAAAGAAAAGTTCCAGCCAATGAACTCTGGATCGAGTCCTCGGGATCCTCTAACTGCCTGGAGTCTGGATGGTTCTGTTGAACATGCTGCTGGAATTTGCTGACGTTCATGAGAGTAAACCATGTGCTCACATTATTCATGAACTCAACTGTTGGGCCAACGCTGGCAAACTTTGCGTAGCACGCGTGCACCCGGCATGATCTTTCACGGAGGACAAAGCCGCTGTCACGGCTGGTGAAAACAACTGGACGGCAGGCTTGACTCCCATTTTTTCTATAGTAGACGGATAGGCGTGTTTCCTCGTGAGAACACGGACCGGCTTGATAATCGAGCACCACTGCATCTTGTAGAGGTCATTTATGTAGGTTAAAGAAATTTCGCCATTTCTTCCCAGTTCTCGTGCCAGAAATTGCGATCGGATGTTTTTTTAGGATGTGACTCTGATCGAACGACGCCAGAAACACACTGCGGCTTGGGTCGGCGGGATGAGACACTCGAGCTTTCGGTTGCCCACCTGATAATATTTCCATTGTAGTGACGTTTATTTTGTGCTGGTCCGTCACAACTCGAACTATCCCAAATCCCATTTCTTCAGTTTTCTTGATGACGTGCTTGGTCATTTCCGCAAGTAGTTCGCCAGTGCATGATCTGGTAAAAAAGTATCCCACCGGGATCCGAAACCTAGCGTGAAGGCCACAGGTCAAAAAGCCCTCAAGCGAGTTTGAAAGTTCGATCGCTTCTTTCCGAGTCTGAGAACACTTGGTTGAGAGCGCCCATGTCTATGTCTCCCATGAAGGCGTATCGTTGTTTGGGGTATTCAAGCCTTTGCTTTATTCTCATTTCGTCTATGATGCAGCTGTGAATTTTGGCTTGCTCGGTCCCGAGGCACTATAGATTTCAGTGTTGAGCTTCTGCTTCACTAGATCACTGAAACCTTTTTCTCGGGCAGTTGCTTCAATGTATCTTTGTAGCAAAGTTCTGCACGGCAGTGCGAGAAGCTCGGTCCTGATATACTCGTATTACTTTGTTGAGAGACTCCTCAGAATCACGCACTGTCGTATTGTGGCTTCATACCACTTTGGTTTTTTTCACCTTGTAGTTTAGGACTTGGTCCATTATCACGCTGGCGATTGCAGCACTGATCGCAGTTTCTGGCTACTTGAAGAAATTTGCTTACGTTGCACTCTTCCTTTAATCTATGCAGCTCTTTATTGTAGGCATCTACTGTTGCCTGCAGCCTTTCATTTCGTTGCTTCCACGCCCTTTCTTTGTCGCGCCATTTTTCCGCTCCAAGAAAGCTGTTGCGGAGCTTAATTCTGCTGTCGGCTTGAACACCAAAGGTCCTCAAGGCACGCGCTTTTGCACCATGTACCGCTGGCTTCGCATCAGTTGGAATCAAGAAAGTTTGCGGAATGACAGTAGTGACTAGCTGCTGCTACAAAAAGCAAGTCTTGGATGTCATATTTGCAAGATGCCCTTGTTGTTGTTCTTGTTGTTTTTTCAGCACCTGAAAAATTGCAGAAGCTTTGCAAACGGGTGAATACACCTCGCGCAACTTCTGCTGCGTGCTCTGTCGCGCACAGGACATGCTACGTCCCATGCGCAGTGGGAGTCGTATACTTAATTCCACTGACGTGTGGGTGCGTCTATGTCGGCCAAACCGGCCGGTACATAAACGACCGCCTGCGAGAACACCGAAACAATGTGCACAATGTGGTACAAGGGCATCTTGGCATTCATTGCCGAGATTGTGGGTGCACCCCCCTCTTTGATCAGTGCTCTATATTGGCAAGGCACAGGGAGCAACTTACCCGAGAAATTATCGAAGCAGAAAGAATACACGTGCTAGGAGATAAATGCGTAAGCATTTCATCGGTTGCTTTATCCCAGGCTGAACGCGATTACCTGGCTGGGCTTTGAGGCATTAGAGGACCAGTCACACGTGCTGTTACTGGTGTGTAGATTGGGCTTGTTTTTTACATTTATGCTCTGCAATCTTCCTTTTCAGACGTATAAATTCTTGCCACTCTGCGAAATAAAGTTAGTTGGAAGTCAGCGCTCTTTCTGTCTACCCTATCCTTTTTTCCTTTGTTCGCGCGCTGAAACACCTTGCAAATATGAATACGCACCAACTAGCCCAAGCTTCCACTCTTGGATGTCGCTTGGAGCAACACATTCTGGTTGTTGCAGGATACTAATGGGCTAGTTTCGTCAAGCGTGTTTGCGCGAACTTCTGGCGCCGGTGCAGGGCGCGAATCGATTTCCTGACTTGGCAGACTTGCCAACGAGTTCGTTGAGGAATCACACTTCTTTTCTGAGTGCTGCTGCAGCTTCTCATCTTTGGTGGCTCCTTGCTCATGTAGGATGGGTAATGCGCGGAAAGACACTCGGCACCACATCGTGCTTTAGCATGTGTCTTTTGGTATTTTACCTTAAGTACGTTTCCACAAAATGTAGGCTGCACACGGCCGAGTAATTCCAAGTGAAATTCGGCGCCCACTTTTTCCGCGCGATAACTCGTAGCCATCTTTCACGTACTCAGTGTTCGCTGTAGTTTCGTGAAAGGACACGCCTGTTTTTTTTTTTTTTTTTCATTGGCTAGAAGTGCGAAACTGAACGCAACAGCAGCACATGGTGACCAATGGAAAAGCAGGATGACATCACCGCTGAAGCAAACAGACGAACCTACAATTGCCAGTGCGACCAAACGACGGGATAAACTTGTCGTCTGCAAGGTGACTGGAACACAAATTGTCACTCCGGTAAGAGGCATATTGACAGCTTATTTCCTCTTTATTATATATTACGCGTGAATACTACTCGTTTTAATGTGATGGCGACAACTCCGAGCAAGGTTCGCGATTACTTTAAGCAGATGGCAAAAAAAAAAAAAGCGCAGAAAACCAGCGCGCGAGCGGCGGTGAGCGTCGTCTGCTAGAGGGTTAGTTGGTAGGTAGCATATAAAGTAGCTCTATAGAGGGTAATAGCGCAGAGCCACCAAGCAGCGTGAAGGAGCAGATTGGAAAGAATAAAGAGAGGACACGGCTGGCGTGGCGGTGCTCACGCGGCAGGCACAAAATATAGGAGGCGCTGCTTTGACAGCATGGAGCATTGAAAATCAGCAGTCATGATTTTCAATGACAACGAAGGTAGTGAGCTTAGAATACAGGAGGTCACGCTAGAGATAACAGATAAATAGAAATATCTGGGCGTATGGATAAGCAATGGGACCGAGTATCTGAGGGAACACGAAATATACGTGACGACGAAAGGTAACAGGAATGCAGCAGTCATGAAAAATAGGGCACTGTGGAATTACAATAGGTATGATGTTGTGAGAGGAATATGGAAAGGGGTCATGGTTCCTGGGCTGACGTTCGGCAATGCGGTCTTGTGCATGAGATCAGAAGTTCAAGCAAGATTAGAAATTAAGCAACGTGGAATAGGTAGGCTTGCTTTAGGAGCTCACGGGAATACACCAAATCAGGGAGTACAAGGTGATATGGGATGGACATCATTTGAGGGCAGGGAAGCTAGCAGCAAGATAAAATTTGAGAAACGATTGAGAGAAATGGGGGAAGAGCGTTGGGCTAGGAAGGTTTTCAGC